TGATTTGATTTGGGACAGGAGTGGACCAGATGGCCATGAATTATCAGACAAAAATCTGATGCTTCATTATATCCTCAAATATGAACATCCTCGTAAGCCCCAAAATTGACCAAAACTATGTCATATTGTGTAGATATAACATTATAAAACTCGTATTTTATAATATATACTTTTATACTATATGAATACGAGTTTATATAGTTTAAAATGTATGCTTGTGTTGATCTCGAGTTTATTAGTGATGTGAACAACAGGAGATTCGCTAAATCAATGCTAACAATGCTAAATCAATGGTAACAATATGGTTCAGGTTATCATAGTCGTATGATGTTTTGTGTTAGAATTAGGGATATACGTTGCTTAGTAAGGTCGGTTTTCGGTTTTATGTTGTGTAATTTTAGTTATATTAAATTCTTTTGTTCTCACAAATTGTTCTTATCCATCTTAATGGGCCATCACACATTGTTCTTATCTATCCTAATTACTCTAAGGAAGACAATTTCTTCCTTTCTTCTTAAGAGAATCAGATAATGGTTCAAACAAAAAAAAGAGTCACAACGATTGGAGAGGGGAACGAGTGTCAACGAGGGCGCTAGACTTCAAAGAGGGATGGATTGTGAGATTCCTCATCGGTTGGAGAGGGGAACAAAACATTAGGGAAGCCCGAAAGAGAAAGTCCAAAGAAAACAATATCTACTAATGGTGGGCGTGGGCCATTACAGAGTCGGGCAAGTTAAAAAAGGACAATATATTTGCTAACGGTAGGCTTGGGCTGTTATAGAAGTCGGGCAAGTCCAAGGTAGACATTATCTATTGGCGGTGGATCACCGAACTTCTTCTAAACGAAGCTTCTCTTTTAGCCGAACTTACGGTTGTTGAAAGAAACTTTGAACTTGAAGAACAAATTCTTGATGTTTTGCTCTCCACCAAAGAAACCACTACAAAAGAAACCACTACAAATTTCAAGCTACAATGGGTATCAGCTCAGGTTTGGTCAAAAGAACAATGAATATCACTCTTTAAAAGTAATTAGCTAAGCCAAAACCTTCTTCCATGGAATCAGATTCTTACCAATTTCATCTCCTTCTCTCAACCCACTTTCTTCCCCTTCATAATTGTTCTAACATTTCCAAGTTATTCTTGTTCTTACAAGATTTGTGCCCAAAATTAATCAAAATCAACTCTTTTTGGTGTTCAAATCCAAATCAAACTGCCCCTTACTTCGTTATAAAGCTACAAACTCTTCCACATTTCAAGCAAATCAAGAGCAAATAAGCAATGAAGATTGAAAAACAAGTGCTTCACCCTATCCATCCATGGCACATGCTGCATCTATCCCACACTGATACCCCTTTCAACTGTGCTGGCTGCCATGAAGCTGGTATTGGCTTCAACTACCAATGCCTGCAATGTGACTTCACCTTGCACAAGCTCTGTGCCATGGCCCCTCCCAAGATCACTCACCCGTTCTACCCGAAATGTGCTTTCGACTTCTTCTTTTCTCCCCCCGGTGCCGCCGCGAGGTTCTGTGACGCTTGTCGAAACGACGTTTCGGGTTTTGTTTACCATTGTAAACGCTGTGGTTTCGATCTCCACCCTTGTTGCGCAAATCTCCCTCAAGTGCTTGATGATGGCGAACACGATCTTTACCTTAGTATGAAGCTTTCGGGACCGTGCCATCGTTGCGGAGGCCGGGGACCGGGATGGTCTTATAAGTCGAAATGTAGGAGCTATAATCTTCACTTGTCTTGTGTGAAGGAATTGCTTGTAGAGAGCTGGCAAGCTATGTACCTAAAAGTGGATAAGAATAAAGTCATTGAGGTTCAGACAAGGATTCCAAGCCTTAAGGGGACATGCCAAAGCCATCCAAGGGGAAGAGGAAAGGTTGAGCAAGGGTTTCTGATGGCTAGCCGGGCCGTTCGGTGCATCGTCTCCGCTATGCTCGGCGACCCGACAGCCATGATTGCTGCCGTTGTTGGTAGCCTCATATCCAAGTAAATCACTCGTAATTTTATGTTGTTTCCTTGGTTCGTGTTTGGTCTGTGTGTAATGTTGTAAAATAATGTTGTTTCTAGATAGAATGAAAATATCAATTCATTTCTGATATCGACGTTGAAGCTACATGAATATATGAAAATCTCGATTCATTCCTTAAGTTGTCCGAAAATGTCAACATGTCAATGAAAATTTAAAATGTCGGTTTCGTTATACCTGTTGATCAAGTACTGTACGAAAGCTTCTATAAATTAAAAGCGCTTAGAAGCTAGGCTTTCAATTTTCTCGAGATCGTAAGCTTCAATTAATGGAAGATCGAGAGAAATTTTGGTTTCATGATGTAAGAAGTTGCTCGAGGTATCCCTAGATCTCCGCTATCCACACGAACCTAACCAAGAAACTACTACATTTATTATTTATTTCCTATTTAAAATATAGATATGATTACTTTAAAAGGAAAATCACATATAATTAAATAAAGAAAAGAAAAAAAAGGAAAGATTCCTACTAACCCCAACATGTCTAAAAAAAATAGAAAATATAAATATAAATTCCACGTCATAATCACATGCACAAAGCATATGAACCTAATAAAATATTTTATTATGTGTAATTTAATTTAATTTTTTCTTAGTTTCGAACAATTTAATTTTCACCTTTTTTTTTTTAAATTTTCTTAGACATTTTAACTAAAAAAAATCTAATAAAATATTTGAAACAAATTAAAAGATTAAAACAAAATTGAAATTTTCAAAATTAAATTGACACAAACTTAAAATACCCATAAAAAGAATTTGTATAATAAAATTTCTAAATGTTTATTATCAAATTTAAAATTAAAAAATCATGTAAAAATAAAAAATTTGTTTTTATAATTTTTACGGTTCAAATTATAATAAAGATTTAAATTATTTGGTCCCTATATTTTAATTTTTTTTTTTTTTTCATTTTGGTCCATAATAAAATTTACCTTTTATTTATTTATTTATTTTGTTAAATGAAGTGTTATGCTAAATAAATGACCATTAACTAATATTCAAAAATGGTTTTTAAAATAAATACATCAAAATAAATATCAATTAAATTCTATTATTTTCCAATAAATAATCTCTCCCTCATTTTAAATATTAGGATATTAAGTATAAATTATTAATCAAAAGTTGAATAAATAACAATTTTCTTGTAGTTTTTATAAAATAAGATATACAAAATTATACTTTTAAAAAATTAGAAGCAAAAAAAATAAATAAAATATATATATATGTATAACTAAGGCTAATTAAATACAAATTAAAATATAAAGTAATATGAACAGAATTTTTAAAGTAATTAAAAGTTTTCCCTTTTTTTTTTTTAATATATTATTTAGATTATTGATGATTGTATTATTAATTATAAACTACACCTTTGAATTAGTCAAAGTGTCAAAAATAAAAAATAATATTAAATTAAAATCATAAAGAAACTTTCTTAATCATTCATGTTTTAACTTTAAGCAATGTATTGGTTGTTAAAGGGTTTCTTTTAAAAACTTTAAATCTTTTTTTTAAAGATAACTTATTTAATTATTTATTATTTTAGCCAATATGTTTCAAATATTTCAATTTAGCCCGTAAACGTTATTTAATATTGATCTCGACCGGTGATTTATTTAATAATAATCTTCTATAGTACTTTATCGTGAAAAACTATATTATAAATATTTATTTCATTTTGATATCGTAGTTTTGATAAAAAAAAATTTAATTTTTGGATTTTAAAAAATAAGGATAAAATATATTTTTGGTTCTCGAATTTGAACACGTTTTAACCACGGAATAAAAGATGTAAAGAAATCCATAAAATTTCAACCACCAAAGCGCGTATTTTACATCATTGTATTCACATTATCAAACTTCTATATAATCATAAATTCATCGCATTAAAAAAAGAAAAAAGAAAGTCTAAATTTCAAAAGGTTACATTTTCATGTTAATTAATTTAAAAAATTAAATTAATATAGTTTTAGCTAATTTTTCATTACTATTAAAGTTAAATAAAAAATTTTATATCATAATTATTTCAAAAATAAGCGGGCATGAAAATTCAAAGATAAAAGTGTAATATTGAAATAAATCAGTGGGCATGAAAATTCAAAGATAAAAGTGTAATATTAAAACTGAAGTACAAAGGCTATAGCACAGTTGGTAGAGCACTTGTTTACACGTGCACCAATATTTTTCAGAGAAATACATCATATAATAAAAAAGGTTGATATTATTAAGAATTCGATGTCTTGCTCCAGTACTTTTAGGTAACAAAATAAGAGATATATAGCCGAGTAAAAGAAAGGTTCGGTCCAAACCGAGTACTCCAGGCACTAAAAAGAATCCAACATTGATTCGAATTGACCATACAAAGACTAAAAACAAATTTGGAGGAGAAAAATATAACATTTTGAAACTCAAATAAAAATTAAATTCAAAATTTATGGAAAATGTACGAAAATTTATGAACGGCCACATAAATAAACCATTTATTCAAATTCCTTTCCGATGTGGGACCAACCGACCTGTCAAAGAAAAAGCAGCCAGTGGGGATATATACAATAATAATTTAAAGTTGAAAAAGATTCCAGACCACCAAACAGAGCTGCAGTCTACTAAACGTGGACGATATTTACACTGCCTCTACGAAGCTTCTTGTGTTCAACTTACAGGTCTTTTATCAATGGGGTTTTCTCCATTTTCAGCATGAAAAATTTGACCTTTCTTCTTCTTCTCTCATACCCCTTTTGGGTTTTGTTCTTCAATCATTTCCAAACTTTCCCAAAACTCACTTTCTTGAAGATTGAACTAATGCGTCGAAGAATTACAGAACACCAATGGCGATACTCGTGGAAGAAAGCTATAAACTTTTTTAAGGCAAATGGGGTTACCTCTAGCTTCTTTTTTGATCAGTTGACAAAGGAGCTAGCTGAATTCTGATTCGAGATTCCCGTGTTGCCGATCTACGAATCCGGGTGGGTTTTCTGTTCATTCTGGGTTAGTTGCTGAAGAATTTGATGAGTAAAATGTTTGTGTGTAAGAGAGATTCAAGTACCTTGGTTGCTGTGGTTGTGGCTTCTTTGGTATTGCTCTTTGGAGCAGTGGGCAGCCAAACGATCCGTGAGCGTCGTTTTTCGTATGTTCGATTCAATGAAAGGGAGCATAATCAAGACTTCATCTTCACCGGAGGCTCTTCCATCGATGGTGGGGCGCTGCAGTTAACTCCTGACTCGCAGAACAATGTTGTTAGCCTTCAAAATACATTTGGCCGCATTGTGTACCACCAGCCGTTCAAGTTATGGCTAGCTGATATTGATAAAAAGGAGGAAGATGACATTGTTGCTTCATTCAGCTCATACTTTTACATCAATATTTTCAGAAATAAAGAATGGAATGCTGGTGAGGGGCTTACTTTTCTTATAGCTCCGACTGCTGATGCACCTGAACAGAGCTGGGGGCAGTGGATGGGCCTCACCAATGCAACCACCGACGGTGACAGCAGAAATCAAATTGTAGCTATCGAATTTGATACCGAGAAGCAGGATTTCGACCCCGACGACAACCATATTGGTCTGAACATCAACTCCATTAAGTCAAGGAAGGCTGTTTCACTGAATAAATCTGGCATAGTTTTATCCCCAGAGACCGGAACTAATCACAGTATCTGGGTTGATTATGATGGCAAAGCCAAACTTTTGCAGGTTTACATGTCTATAAACAAAGATCCAAAACCTGATAAACCGCTTCTCAATGAAACGATAAACCTGAAACGATTTGTGAAACAAGAATCATACATTGGATTCTCTGCTTCTACAGGCAGCCCAGAGATTCAGTTGAACTGTGTCTTGGAATGGACACTGGATTTGGAACGTCTGCCGGAGAAGAAAAATCTAACGTGGTTGAAGATCCTTGCCGGAGTTGGAATTCCGATACTAATCGCAATTCTTATTGGGGTTTGGTTATTTGTTGATTATAGGAAGAAGAGGAGAGTGAGTAGGGATGAGGAGTCAAATGTTCAGGGCACATTGAAGAGGTTGCCTGGAATGCCTAGAGAGTTCAAGTACAAGGAACTAAAAAGGGCGACTCATAACTTCCATGAAAGCATGGTTCTAGGAAATGGGGGATTCGGGGTCGTGTACAAAGGCGTTTTGCAGGACAAGGATAAGGACATTACCACATCTTCAAATTCTGTTTCCAGGCTTGAAATTGCCGTCAAGAAATTCTCCAGGGACAGCATTAAGAGCGAAGGCGATTTTCTGGATGAGCTCACCATTATCCACCGTCTTCGCCACAAGAACCTCGTCCGTTTAGAAGGTAAGGCTTCCATTTTTCTGTTCTTCCAAACAAACAAGGGGAAAGAGAACAAGTTAAATATATAACTCAACCATGCCTGGTAAATATCATGAACATATTGTAGTAAGAGTGTGCCAGAGAACATATTTGTGTAGTTTTTCATTTGCATTCATGAAGCATCAATGACATGTAACAAGAGCATATATAATGCATGATTCCAAATCAATGTACTCACATAAGCATTGCATATTTGTGCAGGGTGGTGCTATGAGAAAGGGAAGCTTTTATTAGTGTACGACTTTATGCCTAACGGAAGCGTCGAGAATCACCTATACGATGTTGCTGACGAGGATGCTCTCAGCTGGAGACATCGCTATAAAATTCTTGTAGGAGTTGCATCTGCGTTGCATTACTTGCATAATTTGTATGACCAGAAAGTATTGCACCGAGATATCAAATCAAGCAATATCTTGCTCGATTCCGACTTCAATGCTCGTCTAGGGGATTTCGGCCTTGCTAGAGCCTTGGATCCTGAAAGAAACTCTTATGCAGACCTGCAGTGTGGTGGAGTTGCAGGCACAATGGGTTATGTTGCTCCTGAATGCTTCCATGAAGGGAAGGCTACTCCTGAAACCGATGTATATGGTTTTGGGGCAGTCGTGCTCGAGATCATTTGTGGCAGGAGACCAGGAGCTGCTATTGAAGACAAGCAAAATCTGTGTACTCTAATTGATTGGGTGTGGAAGGGACACCGTGAAGGACACATCGAAAAAGCTGTCGATAACCGGCTGGGCAATGGTTTTGTGGTTGATGAAGCTAGGAGGCTTCTACTACTTGGGTTGGCATGTACACATCCCACGGCAAGCGAAAGGCCACAAACTCAGGCTATACTCCAAATTTTAAACGGAGCTTTGCCAGCACCTCAAGTACCTCTGTTCAAGCCAGCCTTCATGTGGCCTCCCATGAGCACTACTTCAACCAATACCACTCTCACTTCACTGTCAAACACGAACAGCTCTCTTCCATGAAGTTTCACCATAGCTAGTCCTCTCCTTCCGACTCGAAGCTTACCTGAAAAACATGTCGCTCGTCATCAAATTGTAGAAAACATCATTTATTCTCCCTCTGATACATGCAAGGGGATATGTATACCTGGGCTCAAACTCGCCAATGTCCCGAGATGTTCCTCCGGTTGCTTCTGCACATCGCGCTAGCACTTGTCTGTTGTACCATTATTTTCGCTTTACAGTTAAAGATTGACATGTTTTCTTTATAAATCAAAGGGGGTTTAAGAACTTCCTAGATTACAGATAATAGAAAAAAATTCAAGTCCAAGTTCTAAGTTGTTATCATTTTCAATCTGATCCCGACAATTACACCGTTGTTCTAATAATGTTCGGTCTGTTTAACAGAAACAGAGAATAATGTTTAATCTTGCAACAACAGAAGACCTCAAAATAATGATGCAAGATTTAGGCAATAGGAATGACAATATATTTCAGGATGAGACCGGCAGGCTTGGAAAACAATGAAGCATCCTAGTGAAAATTTGCATATCATTATTCATAGGCCGTGGAGTACAGTCATGGCATAGATTCAAGAAATTTCTTGTATGCATAGTGTAAATTATAGAAATATGTAAATATCGATATAAACTGCACATAGAAACACGATTTCTAACGGTTAATCCAAGTTTTCAACAGCCTAATGTAGGGGTTTAAGGTAATCACAGGAGAGGTGACTTTCATCCCAGGGCTTTGGTTAGCATTCAAGTAATAAACATCTTATGATTTTCAAAGAGATACTCTCCCAGATGCAAAAACCCAAAATTCCATTGGAACTGTTAATAATAATTGGTCGAAGAACAGTACAAATTCTGGCACAAAAATTCTCAACAGTAAAGATGAAAACTACAAGGGAGGATCAGGGGTCCAAATCTCAACCCATACAACATAAGGAAAAGAGTTACATGAGAGTACTCTGTATGTACTCCACTCCATTTAAATTGTTAAAACACAAGGGACACCATAAAGAGCCTAAAGCATGAACCATGAATGAAGGAGGAGAATAATCCAGGGCTAAAAACAATTGCTCAGCAGGACGAAGGCTCTAAACTTTAACTAGAAGCCTGGAAAATGAATTATTAGGCAACAAAACTTGTAAAGGTGCTGAGAAACAACATCCTTTCAGTATATGAGGACCTAAATCTCCAAGCATAGCCTCATAACAAACTCATTTTCATCATAAACTTCTTTTGATTGCATTCCAACAATTCACTCAAGGTAAAGTCCATTGTCTTCTCTTTCAACAATCTGTGCCGCAACTCGAGTCGTTTCTTCAAACCATGCTTAAAAAACTCGGGATATTCGGCAACTTCGTCGAGTTTTCTTTCCATTATTTCGACTAAAAATTTGATACGAGGTTCTAAAGAATGTTGAATGCTCTTGATCAAAATAGGAGGATAACCAGTCACCAAAGACACTATTTCTCCATCTTTAAACCCACGTCTCCTCAGATAATCCAAATTGGGTCTCAAAACTTTGTCCACATCCCTACACAAAATGTCTGGAAATTTCAATGCAACTGCTTGAAGATCCATCTCACTGAGACCGATTGATTTCAGAAACTCGAAAGTAGGACGGAGCCTTTTATGAACACTATATCCAATGAGAAATGGATTTTTTGCTAGAACTTTTCCAATCATCCCATCCTTCGTTAGCCCAACCCCAGCAAGAAAATCTACAGTTTCAATGAGCTTCGATTCAATGCTGTAGCTAATAAGCCTCGGGTTGAGTAGAATCATCTTTCCAAGCTGCTTTTCAGGGACACCCAGAGCTTGAAAGAAAGCCAAAAGTGGGCATAGCTTCTCTTCAACACTATAGGAAAGAATGCCAGGAAATTTGGCAATAGCTGTAGCAATTTCACGAGGCTTAGTGCTGAGTGTTGCAAGGCACTCAACCATGGGAGCAATTTTCTCTTGAAGACCAAGAACTAGAATCTTAGGACATTTGGAAACAACAGAAGGGAGTTTCCTCTTTTGAATCCCAATTCCTTCCAAATATTCCCAATTTTCAGCAGCTCTTTCATTCTGCATACCTTCCAAACGCCTACACTTTTTAAACATCTTATCAATGCTTCCATCATCAAATCCTTTGTCCCTAAAGAACCAGAGCATACTAGTACCATTTCGACTGCCGCTAATTTCCATAAAACCCTGAAAGATTCAGCATACAAACAGATTTTTCATAAATCCACCAAATGTTCGTAAAAATACTGTACAACTACCAGCAATTAATGCAAAACTACGAGAGGAAATAGGAATTGAACTCCAAATTCAACAAAACCCTCCGTTTTACAAAGAGAAATGCAATGCAGAATGGCGATAAACACAGGGAAAATCGAGTTCACCTTCTTCAATCAAATGGATAAGCAAGCAGTCTTTATTGATTTCTGCGCTCGATCAAAGCTCTAATTGTGAGGAAATTGAAGTTACAGAAGCAGGAATTTCTAAATCTTTCAAGAAGAACATAGAGCAAGAAGTATCATTCTTGAGCTCGGCAAGACGAAGGACCTTCGTTTAATTTGGTACGAAATGGATAAGTTGATAGTGAGCCGAAATGCAGAATTTTCGCAAAATTCATTTATTATTAAACAATTCTTTAAATTATTCAAAATTATCCTTGAAATTTTTTTATTTTTATCTTTAGAAATTTGTTTTTAAAAAATTCTTTTAAATTTTTAAATAATTCTAAAAAAAATTAAAAATACTATAAAATTATATATAATATTAACGTTTTTATACTTTAAAATTTTCCATTGCTTTATTAGATTTTTTTTTTTTTTTGTGCAATTTTATTTCATGACCATCAATTAAGGACTTTTACGACACTATTCTTGATAGATTTAAAAGCAAAATGCTTCATACCGAGCGTTTTGGAAGGAAGCTGTAAATACCTATCTAACATAGGTATCAGTGTCGGTCACGAGGCAGTATGCTAGCGAGGACGCTGAGCCTCCAAAGGGGTGGACTGTGAGATCCCACATCGGTTGGAGAGAATATTGTCAACTTTGGCTCGTTACATACATCGTCAGCCTCACAGTTTTAAAATACATCTACTAAGGAGAGGTTTTCACACCCTTATAAAGAATGCTTCGTTCCATTCTCCAACTAATATGAAATCTCACAATCCACCCACTAGGGTTCAGTGTACTCGCTGGTATACCGCTTGGTGTTTAGCTCTGATACTATTTGTAACAATCAGTACAATGCAGCATATATCAGTACAGTAACAAAGCCAGTCTTGAAGAAGGTGACAAGAAAAGATTTTTGCACCAAGTGCGCATTCTTTATAAAGGTGTAAAAACCTCTCTCTATCAAACACGTTTTAAAACTTTGAGGAGAAACTCAGAAGAGAAAATCTAAAGATGACAATATCTACTCGTGGTAAGTTTGGACTGTTACAGGAGGAGCTCTAGGTGAATACAATTCGTGTATACATAATTTAAAATTTAATGGTTTTTTTTTTAAATGAAAATTTAAAAATATTATTAAAACTTTTTAGGGTTAAAAATGATATGTTTATGAATTTAGCTTTATTTTTAATAACTAATGGAACGTCCAAGCCTATCACTTAGTTCCCTCGCTAAAACCCTACACCCATTTTTCCCTCCATCGTCATCGTTCCTTTGCCGACTGCTAGCAATCTCTTCATAATTTCTTCGCTCGAGATTCTCATGGGAGCGTTGCAGATGCAATTACAATCTCGCCTTCGAGTTTCGAAGATTTTGTCTTCAACAATTCGGAATTGGGAAAGAGGCTTTCCTCTGCTCCATGATCCATTGCGAACGCCGGATTTGTCACTCTCGCCGGTGGAATCTCGCTGTTTTAGCTCCAATTCCATGGATGACGATTGGAACTTCTCAAGGTCCGAGCCGAGAAGCAGCCCGCCGCAACGACGTTCTCCCCCGGATCCTCGGGAAGCTCGTCGAGTTCCTAAATTCGCCGGGGAAGTATCTGCTCCTTACCCTGAGGATAATCGGAATCAACGGTTTAATAGGCATTCGGAAGGTTCCTCGTCCCGATTCGCAAACGATGGGCCGATGTCGCGGCCAAGGAATGAGTCTTTGTCTCAGAAGGATTTTAGCTTTCTTGAAAAATTCAAGCTGAACACTGACAATCAGAGCACTAGTACAGAGAAAATCGAGCCGAGCTCTTCTGCTCAGATTTCTGAATCAATGCAGGGGAAGCAATCGCAACCACAGTGTCCTCCAGAAGCGGATGAGATATTCAGGAAAATGAAGGAAACTGGTCTAATTCCCAACGCTGTTGCTATGCTAGATGGGCTTTGCAAAGATGGGCTTATCCAAGAAGCAATGAAACTATTTGGTTTGATTCGTGAGAAGGGTACAATTCCAGAAGTTGTGGTTTACACTGCTGTTGTTGATGGGTTTTGCAAGGCCGAGAAGCTTGATGAAGCAATTAGGATTTTCAGGAAAATGCAGAATAATGGCATTTCTCCCAATGCCTTCAGTTACGGCATCTTGATACAGGGACTGTACAAATCCAAACAATTAGAGGATGCCGTATCATTTTGCATTGAGATGTTAGAATCTGGGCATTCTCCAAATCTAACGACTTTTGTCGGCCTAATTGATGAGTTATGCAAAGAAAAGGGGGTGGACGAAGCTCATACTGTCATAGAAACCTTAAAACAAAAGGGATTCTTGATTAATGAGAAAGATTTAAGAGACTTCTTGAATAAAAGAGCCCCATTTTCTCCACATATCTGGGAACTAATCTTCGGGAAGAAAACGAAGGAATTTTTCTGAGATTCTTGTCGTGGTTAAGAACTTGTAAGTTCTCTTTCTTTTCCCTTTTATGCAATTCCTTCGCCAATTCAAGATATGTTTACTATATGTTATATGGAGTAATTTGAGTGGATGACCGACAGGTTTGCAATTGAAATTGTCTTCAATCTTTTGATAGCTTCTATAAGCTTGTACGAATTGTTGGGTACCAAAATGATAAGATACAAAACAGGGAAAAGGAAAAAAAAGGAGAATATCCTGTGAGTTACCTTTGTTTAATTGGATTTTATTAAAGTTTTATTTTCATTAGCATTCTAGGATGGCTATGATTTATAGAAGTGGTGGTTCATGTATGTATTAATGAGACAAACAACCTTTCGTTCAGAAAATGAAGCATGGAAATCCAAAAAACAAAGCCCCCAAAAGGGAGTGGCTCTAAAGAAAGCGCCTCTTGTGTAAAATATTTTCCATTGAATATTTACGAAAGACCTTTTGTCATCAAAGCCCAAAGACCTTCCCCCCCGATCCTTATCTTCACTAAGAAAGATCGTTTTTCTTAGCTAATTTTGATTTCCTCTGGTCCACCTCCAGCTTACTGCTCAAGTTTATAAGTTTTAGAATCATTCAACGTAAAGCTAGCCCAACCCATGACCAAGGACAATAAGATATGCACATCCGTTAACAGCTTCCAAAATCACTCGCATAAGCATAAGCATACAAGAACTAAGCTGTGAATCTTACTTAGAGTTGCTGTTCCCCCCTGCTTTCCTCTTTCTCTTCTTGTTCTTCATCTGCCTTTTCTTATCAACACCATCTACATCAGAAAAAAAAACTTGCATGTATCAAATCACTTTGAGTTCTCCTAATTGGAAAGGTTCAAATTGCCTTTAAATGATGCTCAAAATGTCTTGTCCTGCTGTAACATATTCACGACTTTTGTGTCGAACTAAGAGTTATGTGTGCATTCCTCTCTACAACCTTAATTACATTTCACTCTAGAAGAATAACTGTTTGTGAAGATTTTGACTTGGATGCTCAATTAGGGAGCACTACTCAATTTTACAGTTCTTAAATATTTGCGAGCTAAAGTTGCTGCTTATGGGAGAGAAAGAGTTTGTTCACGTGCAGATGGAACTCAACTTAAGATTAGTATGTCATTTCATTTTAGAATTGATGAGTGAAAGTTCATACACAATATTATGTTCCAGAATATTTGGTCATTATCGTTATGATGGATCAATTAGGAGTTTTCATTTAAAAAGGCCGCATGATTTATTTTCTGTTAGTTATGGCTAAGGAGCTCTCCTAGTGTTGATGCTTATATGTATGATCATGTAGGTGAAGATACCAATCATGTCACTGAGAAGAAACCGCAAGTTGAAATTATTGAAACTCTGTATCCAGAATATAACGATTGTGTCGAAGAATAAAAAACTGGTTCAAGAGTGAACAGTCTACAACTATTGAAGTGAGCTCTAAGAGGAGTTCAAGTTTGGAGAACTCAATACTTTGTGCAGTCTAGTTCATTGACCTTTGGTTAAATATTGTGTGGCAAACGGCATGGCAGATATTGGCTACGGTTAATGACATGGATATTTTTTGATAGATTGTGAACATCAGAAAATGTGTTAAGTTCACCATTTACCTCTTAGAATTTTTTTTTTACAAACATTTATGTAAGTTATGAATATTTCCTTGCTTTCTACCATTAATGGCTACATAGAGATGGATTTTTAGGTTAAATTATTGATCTAGTTTTTGAACTTTGAGGATTGTGTCATTTGGTTCCTAAACTTTCAAAAATGTCTAAACTTTTAATTTTGTGTCTAATAGAGTTCTAAATTTTCGATTTTGTATCTAATAGGTTCTTAATAGTAGATTTATGTATATGAAACTGAATTTTGTCCAGTGAAATGCTAAAATTTCAATTTTATGTTTAGTAGATACAAGATAAAAAAATTTAGGGGTTTGTGGTATTCAAAATTGAAAATTTAAGAATCTATTGGACACTTTTTAAAGTTTAGAAATTCAATGGACATAAAATTCAAAGTTTAAAGAATTATTAGGGGACCTATTAGAGATTTTTGAAAGTTTAGGAACTAAATAGATACAAACTAAGTTCTAGCTGAGTATCTGTTGTGAGTTATGTTCATGTTCATGGCTGTATTACTCCCTGTTATATTATTTTAATTTAGGTGAGAAGAGTGAAGAATATGGATCAGATACACCACCTGGCTTTGGAGAGGAGAATGAGAGAGGAAAGGCCACGTTGCCAGGTAGCCATTTATTTTAAAGCTGTACAACTCATTAGATATATATGTATTTTCTTTCCAGGAGCATGTATGATTTGGTCGGTATTATTCTATCTTGAATTGTAAGTTTAGTCAAAACCTGGGAAGGGAGGTGGCTGCTCTTGTTTTCTTATTGTTATTATAAGTGAAAAATGGAAAAGAAAAATGGTATTAAGATATGAATGGAAGATATTGTTATCATGTGCATATTTAGATACTTGAGGCATTGACTGACTTTTGAAGTATTGAGTGCAATGTTGGGTCGGCGCCGGCCCTCTCTTTCCAGCTGGAATCATTGTTCTAACACACTAAAATATTAGCACAGAAACTCGATGGAATTTAGGAGATCTTCCCCTCAAGAATTCCGAGTTTTATTTCTTTGGTTGACTTCTGGGTGAGATTAGAAATTTGAACTTTTGACTTATTAGTCGACGGTACGTGTCTAAACTAGTTAACCTATGCTCTTGTCAGGTGAAAGTAGAAATTCGAATTTTTGACTTCTTGGTCGATCCTACGTATTTAAACCTGTTGAACTATACTTTAGTGGGTGAGAGTAGAAATTCAAATCTTTGACTTCTTGGTTGATCATATGTATCTAAATCAGCTGAACTATGTTCTAGTTGGGAAGAGTAAAGATTCGAACATTCAACTTCTTGATCGATCTCATGTATTTGAACCTATTGAACTATGGTCTAGTGGGTGAGAGTAGAAATTCAAATCTTTGACTTTTTGGTCGATCATATGTGTCTAAATCAGTTGAACTATGCTCTATTTGGCAAGAGTAAAAATTCGAACTTTTGACTTTTTGACCAATCATACGTATCTAAACCTATTGAACTATGCTCTAGTAAGTGAGAGTAGAAATTCAGATCTTTGGCTTCTTGGTCGATCATATGTATCTAAATCAGCTGAACTATGCTCTAGTTGACAAGAGTAAAAATTCGAACCTTTGACTTTTCGGCCGATCATACGTAACTAAACTTGTTGAGCTATGCTCTAGTGGGTGAGAGTAGAAACTCAGATCTTTGACTTCTTAGTTGATCATATGTATCTAAATCAGCTGAACCATGCTCTAGTCGACGAAAGTAAAAACTTGAACCTTTGACTTTTCAGCCGATCATATGTATCTAAACTAGTTGACTATTATCTAATTGGAAAAATTTTGAAGTCAGAAGTTCGAACTCAAGCTCATAAAATAGACTGTTTATATCATTCCACACCGACTTCACAAGACTCATTTCTTTACACAAGCAGGTGGATTTGTTAGCATAGAATTTGGTTGTCGGGCACAACAAGATTGGTCGGTCTTTACAATATAAGGTTAAGCTTCCCAAACCCAAATTTTATAATCATTAATATATTCTGAGTCAAACATCCTTGATTTGTTATATTCCTCCAAAAGTCAAGGCCTGAAGTCAACCCACCTGATCATGGGAAGCCAAGTTTCTAGTATATAAATGCCTCTGGTTCTTCCATTGTCAGAGCAACTAGCAGCAAAGAGAAGCAAAGGAAGAAGCTGCTGCTGGTGCTAAGTTTTTGGCTATAGAATGATAAGCTTAGCGTTAGGTCGGGGTTCAATGTGCATGGCCACCATTGTCTTCTACACTTGTGTGTGGATCCCTCTGTGTCAACTGAAGATGGCGATCGAAAGCATGATCGGCCTTCTGTCGGGCTGGACGTGTCAGCCGCTCACGACGGAGTCGGCACCGTGGGAGGTAAAACTTCCAATTTGTAGGTTTAAAGAGCTGCAGCGTAGGGGAGGAATGGAGGAGGAGATTTGCTCGGTTTGCTTGGCGGAGTTCACCGGAGACGATTTGGTGAGCCGACTGCACAGATGTAGCCATCTTTTCCATGTAGAATGTATTGAGAATTGGCTACATAGAGATCATTTTACCTGTCCTCTCTGCAGATCCTTCCTCTTCCCAGCATTGTAAATCCTTTGGAAACAATTTCCCTCGGTCCATTGTTTCGGGTAGCGTTTAGGTCTCTTTGTGCCATTGAATTACTATCTCTAATAGCAGTGCACAAATTCTCGTGTCAATCTAAGCATAACTCTATAAACAAATGCATTAGTTATATATTAGGGGTTCGATGGTTTGTTCTCTTATTCTGCCATAGTTGAACTAACCAATTATCTTGGTTTCACATACATCGTCACGATATCGAATATTATATCCATTATAACGTTACAGAAAAATTACAATTAGTTGAACTAACTAGTTATCTTGGTTCGATGGTCCTTTTTTAAAAATTAGTTGTTTTGATAACCATTTTCTTTATTTTTTTATTTGGTTTTTTTTTTTATATATATAGTTAAAATGGACTTAATTTTTTTTAGAAGGAACCTTATAAAAAAATTAACAAATAAAGAATTAAGGATTAATTTTTTAAAGATGTTTTTAGAACAAAAATTTAGTCCCAATCCTAACATGTTTGAAAACTTTTTTTATTTATTTTATATAATCTTAATAATTTATTTTATGAGTTGACAATCTTATCTAATTATTATAATAATGAATATCTATCAAATAATTATCCAAATAATTATTAATAAATGAAGTTCCATTAAAAGTAAATCATTATTAAATAAGTATAAAATATATTAAAATTTTAATATAATTATAGTTCAGTCGATCAAAAATATCGTTTCAACTTTTTAAAAGTCGGGTTGAAATCTCAAAATCTTTATTTGAATTTAATTTAATAATAATAATTAATTAATAAAAGACTTGATGGATGTTAATGGCCGGTTTGGAAAATACTTTACTTTTCCCCCTTAATAATTTATTCCCACACGCTCACGTACGTTGAGAAGAAGGTTAACGTTTTTAGAAATAAAAAAGTCAACGACTAGAAAATTTTAATCGTCGATAATTCCCCGGCAAAAACGACTAATTGGATCTGAAAAGCCTTGAGATTGGGCTTGAAAATCTTTTGTACAAAAAGCTCAAAGGCCCAATACTAGGCCCAACACTAGGCCCAATCTTACTAAATGGACTCAAATGAACCCGACCCAGTTTCGAGCCCGAAGTCTTTGGCGGGTAGGAATTCTGAACAAAATATATTTACAGCAGAGCGACGGAGGAGAAACTGTACTCTGATCGGAGAGATCGAATTTTGGAATCGAGATCTTTGGTTCCTGAAAGTTCAGAGCAAAATGGTATGTGATTATATTGCTTTGATTCATTTCTAGATTTTGATTATTTCAAGGTTGAAATTGGGTTGTTCAATGCATTATAGTCTTCCTCATCGTGGATCTGCTTTGCTCTTTCTTTGTGGAATGGTTTAATTGTTTCCTCTTTTTCTTCTGAATTTTTTTTTCGCTCTTAAAATCGATTTTGAGTGCTTTTAGTGTTGTAAAGATTCAGATCTTTGCTTAGCCGACATCCGGATTGCCCAATTTTCGATTCTATTTGTTGTTGGATTCGTCGTGCTCGTTCGTTTATGTGGCTGTATAGCATCTGGGATTTCAGGAATAGTTCTTGGATTTCGTCTTGCTAGGTGGTTTGGGATTGTAATCGTCGTCTGTCCTAACTCCCTCATTTGGTTGTTCCTCCCTTAGGCGGAGCTGTTTCTTCTCTGTTGAGCTAGTAGTAGAATCCGCACTTCTCCAGAGTGGTGGAGTGGTGATTCTTGTTTCATTTCTTTTGTTCTCGAGCTTGTGAGTGTGTTTAAGCCATGAGTTCCTGAATCCTTTTCTTGCCTATTCCCAAGGACTTTTGTAAATTACCCAAAAGTTATTATTGTGGATTGGAGCCCCTTTTTGTTGAGATAGTTGTTTGGCATCTTTGGTCTGGGGTGTTTCTTGTATGCTCGTTAGCTTTAGCTTTTCCTTTTGTAGTGTCTCATTTTTTTTTCCTCAATGAAAGCGTGGTTCTTTCTCATAAAATAATTATCTCTTCCTTGGAGCAACTTAAGTTCAGTGTTTATATCTTCAAATCTTCGTTTCCCCACCAAGAAAAGACGGCTTAATCCATATCTTACATGGTGTTCTAACTGATGTTGTTGGTGTAAATTTCCAGATTCACTTCGTGCTTCTTATAAGCAGACAAGGAAAAGTGAGGTTGACGAAATGGTATTCTCCTTATACTCAGAAGGAGAGATCTAAGGTAAGTCAGCTATTTGCCTCATTCTGTAATTTAATGCTAAGAGGTTCTTTTAATTTCCAGCAATGAGAATATTTGCAATTTCTTGTTGGCTTTCCACACGCTCACAAAGTTTATTTGCTTTAATAAGTTTTAGTTCCCCTAGGATCTATTGGACTTACCACATTATGACATGTGCTTGTGTCTGCTCATGTTCTTTAAAAAGGTTATCCGTGAGCTTAGTGGAATGATTCTAAACCGGGGGCCTAAGCTCTGTAACTTTGTGGAATGGAGGGGACTCAAAGCTGTATATAAAAGGTACGTCATGGCGTATTGATGTGTTCTGCAATCCAAATCTTTAATTTGTCCATGTTGCCCGGTCTAAGATGATTAATAATTTTACTGTTCGTCTAATGCAGATATGCTAGTCTTTACTTTTGCATGTGCATTGATCAGGATGACAATGAATTAGAGGTCCTTGAATGTATTCATCATTTTGTTGAGATTTTGGACCGTTACTTCGGCAGTGTAAGTGAATTAAATTTTAATTCATAAGTTGTTCGAGACTATTTTTTTTGCACCATCTCTTTAACTGACATTTAGTTTCTTCATTATTATGGTCTTTCATTTATGTTTGTAGGTCTGTGAGTTGGATTTGATCTTCAACTTTCACAAGGTATTATTTACTTGCTTAAGCTGCACCTTTCTTTAATTAGCAATCCATTGCCTCTGGCCTGCCAGACATTGGTATTTTGTGTAAGCCCGATGCATCTGAATTACATGCACTCAGCTTCTCGCCAGTTAACTTTTCTTGAGTAGATGTTCACGTCCTTTATATGAAACTTTGAATGTGTTGTTTATTTATTTTAACATTGAAGGCCTATTATATACTGGATGAGCTTCTAATAGCTGGCGAACTCCAAGAATCAAGCAAGAAAACAGTAGCAAGATTGATAGCCGCACAGGTACTCTCTTCTTTGTCTTTGCAGTACCTTAGTTATGATTTCAATTCAGCTGATGATAAGGTAATTGATATTCCATTGTAGGATTCGTTGGTGGAGACAGCAAAGGAGCAAGCTAGTTCAATAAGTAACATAATTGCGCAGGCCACCAAGTAGGAACACTTCAGTGTATGTTTCAGTTTTTTTGGTGAATTGAGTTGTTCTGAAGCATTGTAATTATATGTTATCTGGACTTGTATCATACAAGTGAATGCCTTGTTTTTGCTTATTTTCATTTGTAGTATTACAAAAATTGCTGGTGTTCTAGTGATTTCACCTGCCTGGTTCAATGTTTGCTGGATTGTTCTATTGTTGATCACAAATACAAACGTTATTGCTTGCTAGAAGTGTTCGATCTCTGTTTCTTACCAGAAGCCTTCGGCAGCTATGCTTTAGAAATGATTGTTCATCCTGCTTTCTTTCACATTTTCCTTGTATGTTACATCTATCCTTGCCTAACCACGGCCTGCACCTTGCCATCCTTCAGTTCCATTATCTGTTTTTATTCGGTTAGCCCAAGATTTGGACACTCTTTTAGTTTTCCTCTTATTTTATTTATGTTATTTGAGATGAGATGTCGAGGATCGTACTTCGACCTTGTATTATGCTCCTTGTCGAACTCACCAATTCTCCGGAGGGTTTGGCCAACCCTAAACAACCCGGGATTTTGAGTTATTTAAGTCTTGTTTGATAACCAAGTTTTTATTCAAGATCGATGAAATCAAGGTTAAAAAACGTTGATTTTGTTTTTAGGACCTTACATTTTCAAATTTGGCTTGATTTTTTAACCCATTGATAGAAAGTGATAAAAAATGAAATACATAGAGTAGCAGTAATGTTTATAAACTTGACTTTTAAAAAGAAATCAATCGATTATCAAACGAATGGAGTTGGAGTTTTTAGAACAGGAGGGAGTATCTCGAAACATCTCAAGTTCTTATCATAAAGGCACCCCTTGAGATTTCTTTGAGAATACTAATCATGTTATCAGTGGATTTATTGTTGAATGGTACTCATATAAACAAAGCTAATTTTTTCTGCTGAGATTTGAGTTCCTCAGAATATATCAGAGCCTATCGAGTGACTGAGCACTCCATCTTCCCACTTCAAATCATTAGCCTTTGGATCTCTCTCAAATAACTGAAGGGCTACTTCTGTTGATGGTGGAGTCTGCATTCAAAGACAAACAAATGCTGTTTATCTTGAAGATTTTCTTTTCAGGTGCTTTCTTGCTTAAGCTTTCTGTGGATGTTCAAAAGAGAATAGTATTTACCATTGTTCGTATCTTAGGCCAGTTTATATGACGGAAAAATGGATGTCGTTTGATTTCATCGGAACCGGTACTTGATCCTAGACGACGTGCAGGGTCTCTCTGTAGTAGTGCATCAATCAGCTGCTTTCCTGCAAGACTCACCTGCAACATTGACCATGAACACCAAGAACTCGAACAAATTCGAAGCCTTAACACAGAAAAGGAAGAACATCCACAGCCACTTACCTTAATACTAAGGGGAAAGGTCAAGTCCTTGAACAAAATATTGGAAAAGGTTTTCTTCCTGTTCTTGCCTTTGAAGGGTGTGCGACCATAGAGCATTTCATACAGCAAAATACCTGAATTCCATGCATCAAACCATCAACGAAGGATAAGGAAAAGCCTCAAGGAAAATAGCCTTCTTACCAAGAGTCCACCAGTCAATAGAACTATTATGGCCAGCTCCCATAATGATCTCCTACAACAAACAAACGATATGAACTATTATTAACATTCTTGGAATGGCTAAAGTTGTCTATGGAGATTAAGATAGATCATACGGGAGCAATGTACTCTTCAGTTCCTACGAATGAATTCAGTTGTACAATCGGTTCAGCAACGAACGTCGGCACCAATCTATGCCAAGATCCCTTAATCCGTTTCCGGGGTGGAGATTTTGTGGTCTGCAAGAAGAGCATAAAGTTCTCATGTCAAATCTCTTAAAAAATAGGAAGGAGATGTAAATATGTCTCAACGAGTAAATAGTTATGTACTTGTAT